TTCTTTTGATTCCTTTGCATGTTTAAAATTGTTCAAGTGTTGGAAAAAATGCAGGGCTTCGTATGAAAAGTACTTATTCTACATGTTAACAGTGTTCGACAAATAAAGCAGTTCCCAAATGCATCTCTGAATGTCACACTCACCCAGCCACCCGGATCCGGAGTCTGGTATGCACAGGTCTGTCTCAGCGCTGGGCAACACGAAGCCCACGACAAACACCTCCACGCCGTCCGCCATCAGGGCCATGCCCAGGACAAAGAAAAGGGTCCACTGAAAGCGGCCGTGGCCACACTCTTGGATTATCAGCTCATACTGCTGGGCTAGTTCTTCCTCGTCAGCTCTCCTCTCGGACTCCAGCTCCCGGCGGTCCTTGTACTCATCGCCCTTGGGCTGCCCCACTGACACGATGCTGTCTTTCCCTTGGTTCATGCTGGGGATGCCCTGATACTCCCCTTCGTAGATTTCATCATCTTCATCGTGACCCTCAGTAGCTTCACTGGAGCCTTCATCATCGTTGGCCTCCCCATTGTAGGTTTCTCCGGGTGGGTAATAGTCATCTTCCTCTTCCTCGTCCTGGAACCGACTATAGGACCTCTGGGTGTACTCATCCTGGGCCCGATCCACTGCTTGATTCACTTTCTTTACCGTCTGTTTCTTCACCTCTCTGGCAATGTCCTTGGCACCCTTCATCAGGGAAGTCCTATCCTTGTAGGAGTCTTCCATCTTATCTCAACAGATTGTCCAACGAGAAGATGGGAATTTTTCACAGCCTCAGGTCAATGGTTCAGTCTTGACAGCATCATCCACTTTGGGTTCAAAACGGAACTGCAAGAGAAGACAAAGCACAGGAGAGATTTATTATTTCTTTCTATGTCTTTTCCATCATCTATTTCTTGGTCTCATTTCACTCGCCCCATAGACTAAGTCACAGAATGAGCTTTTCCTTTCTTTTGAGCACACTGTTTGCTGGTTCTCTGCTCAAGTGTGATCAGCACTTGGAGTACCTAGGGTTTTTGCTATTATTATTATTGTTTTGTTTTTAAGGAACTCTGTCTCCTGGGTAACTTTGCATAGAATACATAAGCACTCCCCTGAAAATACAATGAGACACGCTGCATCTTTATAAGTACAGCCAACATATTTCAAAAGTGCTAGAAACATAGACCTTGACTGAGAAAAATAATATTGCTCACAGATACGTACACACTCTGCAAAGGCAAACCCAGAATAACAGAAGAATCCTGCTGACCTCATTTCCCCACAATGGAAAAAACAAAGCAAGCAAGCACCGCTATATGCAAGGCTATCAAATCATACACAAGCACTCCTCATTTTACTGCATTCCGCTTTATTGCACTTTGCAGATACTGCAATTTTAACAAGTTGAAGATTTGTGGCAACCCTGGGTCCAGCAAGTTTATTGATGCCATTTTTGCAAAAACATTTTGCTCATTTTGTTTCCCTGTCATATTTTGGAAATTCTTGTAAAATTTAAAATGTTTCCATTATTATCATATTTGTTACATGATCTGTGATCAGTCGTCTTTGATGTAACTACTATAACTTGCTGAAGGCTCAGATAGATAATTGTTAGCAATTTTTTAGCAATAAAGTATTTTTTAATTAAGGTGCTTTTTTTTTTTTTTAGATATAAAGCTACTGCACACTTAACTAACTACAGTATAGTGTAAACATAACTTTAATAAGCACTGGGAAACCAAAAATTTGTGTGACTTGGTTTATTGCAATATTCACTTTATTGCAGTGGTCTGGAACCCAACCCGCAATATCTCTGAAGTATGTTGTAAATATTTATAAAATACACTTTCGTCCTACCTTCCTAGTATCTTCTTCCAATAAATGATAAGAGACTCACGCGGCACCCAAAGCTGACAGTGAGTATTTTCCCCTAGTACGGCAGTCATATCCATAGAAATCGGCAGTGTTCATCAAATGATTTCACAGATACTTTGGATAATCACTGAATTATAACATGGGGCTTGTCCAGTGATGGGGGTGCCCTTTCAGAAACCACCCACAGGCCAGCAGGGACAGGTCAGCCACATGCAGTGTCCCTTCACAACTGACCCTGTAAGAACCCCAGGCTTTGTCCCTACCTTCTCCGTCTCTAGACACTCCCACACACACACTCCCTCCCACCGTGTCTGACTGCCACTCCAGTTAGCTGCTGTCCTGGAGACCGATTCAGCAGCCTCCCATGACCCATCACTAGGTTTTCTTTCTCACGGGTAGCCCCTTACGTCTTGACTTACTACACTCTGGCTGACTTCTCTCACTCCTCCACTGGGCTGTCTCCTCCGGTGGCCCAAGTAAGCCATTATCAGGCCACCTTGTACATAGATGACATGAAGGTGAAAAAATCATTCCCCCCCATCATTAATTCCCCAAGCCCTGCACTGCAGCAGCATCCCAAACACTGGTTTATGTAATGGTCAATTCTACTTTGTTCTTTTGCACTCAGAGTAAAACACTTGTAAGCAGCTATTATAAACATATACTAAAACTGCTCGTTCAGACATCACAAACAAACCCAGCAATAAAGACAATAGGATGTTTGTTTATAAACGAACTGTACATCATTACCGTGGAATACCAACAAATGCCCAGTGGGCAAAACAGAAGCACGGCCCTGCTCAGGCCGGTGTTCTGGAAAATGACAAAATGAAATGAAAACAAGCATATGATTACAAGGCTTTCTCCGGAATGTCTTGATGAAGGGTGTTTCTGTTTGTTCTTCTTCTCCTTTCTTTTTTGGAGAGCTGAGGGATCCAGAGGAGAGTTAGATGGGAAGGCAGCGAGAAGAGTGGTTGAGGATGGAGCGCTCAGAAAGTTAAGAAGGAGGCAGGAAAAGAGAGAAGGGAAGAAGGGAGAATGATGGATAAATGATGCCGCAGATGGAGAGATGTTTCCTAGTTTAAAAATGAAAAGTGAAATTAAAACATTTCACACAATAAATAAAGCCAACTCCTCTACCACCCAGAAATCGACGATCACATCAGACACTGCACACCAGCTGCTTCTTGGGCACAACAGCACACAAATGCCCTTAAAGGGGATCCAAAGACTGGAGAGCGAGGACAGACCCTGAACCACTGTAACACGCCGCCGCGAACCGTGCCTGTTGGCAATGGGAAGCTTCCGCAGTTGCTCTTCCTAAGAAACAGTAACTAAACTGACTGCGTTTGGCTTTCCTGCCTTTGTTCCTGGCCGCGGTCTCATCACGTGCTTCACGGGCTCGCACCCCCTCACATGGTCCTTGCGTGGGAGCCACCTCTATGACAGAAAGCCGGCCTGGTGTCCTAGAAAATGGATGACTCTAACTCCCTAAGTGATCTAATCACACGCGCAATGAAAACAATTTTTAAAAAATTAAACGGTTTGGTTTTCGGGGGAAAAAAATGCTTCTTGTACAAGTCTATTTGACTCTGAGGCAAAACAAAGACCATGTGTATGTAAGTTCCCCAGGTTCCTCAAGCCAAAAAGTGAGGCTTCACTCCATTTTCAGATCTTAATGGAAGAGACCGGGTCTTACAGTTTGTAGTCTCACTAAAACAAAGGAGATTTTTCAGTGCTTTTGCATAAACAAGGGCAACTATGAATACTTATTCAAAAATTCTGTTTAAATCCAGATGTCTGTAGATGATGCCACGGGGGAAACTCGGTGAAGGGCAGGTGTAGGGCATCTCTATTACTTCTTACACCTGCATGTGAATCTAGGACCCCAAAATAAAATGATAAACAAAAAATAAGTTTGTATCATCTACACTATGCAATCTTGGAAAATGCACAAGATGTTTAGCTAGTGGGAAGGTTATTCAGGGGGCAGAGTTGTATTCTATGGATATTTCCCTTTCTGGTAAGTGGAAAAATGCAAAAAGCTAGGCTCATCCCAAAGGTCACTAGGAAGATGGCAGACCGGGATCTGTGTCAGAAGGCCACACCTGCATTTGAAGCAGCAGCTCACAGGTGTGGCCCGTGCACCAGGTGTGGCCCACTCGGACATCCATGCGCAGCTGCTTCTCACATTATCAGCTGCTTCTCACGTTATCAGCGTCTGCAAACACCGTTCCTCCATTTGGGATGAATCACCCAGTAACACCACGTACACGTGCCAAACGCCGATTTAATGAAAAGCGGGTTGAATGGGTGCTTACTCTGTGCCAAGCATTGTGCTAAGAACTTTATACACACTCTTGTATTCTTTTATTTAATCCTGACAATCCTATGAAACAGGTATTATACGGTCCATTTTACAGGTGAGAAAATTAAGGCTTAGCAAGATTAAATAAGTAGCCCAAGGTCACAAAGCTTGTCAAAGGCAGTGCTGGGACTCGAGCCCAGTGGTCTGACCCCAGAGGCTTGCCCCTTTTCCCCATCTGCCTCACACCGTGCGCCCCTGAGGTCTTAATAAGTGCGGCAGCGTTCTTCCTAGTCATTCCAGTAACCTGTCTATTTCATACAAAAATGGTTCATAGCCTCTTTGCTAACCATCCTATAGGTTCTGAAACAAGAATTACTGTGATACGTTTCACCAGTGATGGGCTTTCTATGGATAATAACCTTAACATATGGTTTTGTTTGTTCAGATAAACTAGCCCAAGATGTTGGTTCAACTTCAAAAGATAATATAATCGTGCTAAATAAGATGTCAGCAGGCCAGGAGGGCAGGAAAGAAAACAGCAATGAAGCTCTAACTCTCAGGGAAGCTGCCTCTTCTTTATTCAAGCCAGTACCTTGCCAGGAAACAAGGACAATGATGTACCTTACACTGTGCTGAGGATTAGATGAGACGGTGTTCACACTGCGTCCAGGACAGAATTCGACATACATTAAGTGTTTTTAACTTGGGTTCCCTAGACAGAGCCTGTGATGAGGAGTCGGGTGTGAATCATTTATTGCAGACAAGCTGGTAAGGGAGTGGGAGAAGCAGGGTGGAGTGGGAAGGGGACAATCGATGCAGGGCTGCAATTCTGGGCAGTGTCCTGGGGGGCAAGCTTCAGCTTGAATCTGCAGAGTGATTCAGGAACTTAACTCGTGTCTCAGAGTTCTTCCCACTCAAGGCAAAAGCGCTGGGCTTTCCTGCTCCCGCACCTGCCCACTGTTGGCTAAGTGCCCCCCCGCCCCACCCCGCCTGTCAAGGATGGACACAGGCGCTTCCAGCTCGCTGCATCAAAGGCAAAGTGCTTCCAGCAGCTCAAAGGTGGACCTGTGAAGAGATACAGGTGCTGGCTGATGGACGCAAAGACACACTGAAGCCAGGAGGAGAGCTCCAAGACAATGAAAGGAATCCGAGAGTATTTGGTCAGAATATTAACAGTATCTCCTACAATTAGCATTTAATAAATGCTTGCTTAGATGCCCTGCTAATCATGCTAAGTGGCAGGACCCACAGGTAATTAAAAACTACATTTAAAAAAGTAATTTTTTTAAACTTTTTTTTAACAGGGGGAGGTAATTTAGGTTTTATTTATTATTTACTTTTTCAAACAGAGATACTGGGGATTGAACCCAGGACCTTGTGCATGCTAGGCACACATGCTACCACTGAGCCCCAAAACTACATTTACAGAAGCAGCTGTTACAAGTGAATAGTATTTACAGGAAAGCTTATGATATTTAATGATCGGCACAGTCAATGTGCGTGACAATCATTTGGCACAAATAATAGCTCACACACATAAATGAGCGTTATTCTGGCAAAA